GTATAGATCCACTAGTTATATGTGAGTGGTCAGCTTCACGCCCCGGCTTTAACCCCCGGAAAGAGCCCCCGGTACCCATTGTATAGGAGGTTGGATGGACCCCAAAGTACGTCTGGACGACATACAGAAATGAAAATTCTTGATCCTACCGGGACTTGAACTCCGAACTCTCGGTCGCCCAGCCCGCAGCCAGTCACTAAACAGACTGCGCTATCCCTGCTCCTAGGGTTGCAGAAAAATAAACAATGAGGAGCTTCGTAATTTGTACCCTTTACCTAACATGTTGGGTTCACTAGTTGAAAAATTATGAGAGAGAACTTGTGTGCTGTATAAAAACTTGAGAGAAAGTGACCACTTGGGAGACCTAAGCTTAGATATTAGGATAATAAGGTATCAGAAAGGATATTCGAGATTAGAGAGTGAAGTAAAATCAAGTTAACGTAATATGGCCCAATGAAAAGATTCTATGGATCTCCGGTTTCCATACCAGCTGAATATCACCGTTGAGATGTTGGGGAAATAACATTTGATAGTCTTTTATAGTGACCAGCGCAGAGCGGGTTGCTCTAAGTAGGTCGCAAGGAGCATCTTCTCTCAACAAGCTTCCACCCCTTCCTTACCCTTCACCCCTTCCGACCGCGGCTTCTGCTGCAGTGTACTGTTGAATATTTTAGTTTTCACATGATGGCTGTTGGTGCGACCTTCCTTCTCGACTTCTTTTAAACTTAAGATGCGCGCGCGCTTGTAGCTCCCTGTTCTCCTTAACAGCGACACGTATTCCCAACGCAATAATTTTAAGTTCCCTAACTGCGCTCATTTTTTTTCTAAACTAAGAACTAGAGAGGCAAACTATAGCAAATCCCGTAATGTTTTAGCATCCAAGACGTTATAGGTCATGCTGTTAAGGTTTGCTGTGCAATGATACTGCAGTATTAACATTTGCTTCTTCATGTGAATAGAAGACTAACTCTGTGACGCTTCTTCCATTTTGTTTTGGTTCCGTGAGGGAACTTTGTTCAAGCTGAATATTTTGATTTTTCTTCCTGTCCATTTGTTAATCACCCACGAATTCAATTATATTTAGACTGTCAATATTGTAGACAGCCGACCACAGTGATTATGCGGTCTAGGACCCTGGGATCGCGGGTTCGAATCAAGCTCGAAATGTGATGTGTATTTGCGTGTTACTCCATGTAAATTATAAACAGATCACTCTCCGGGGAACAAAGAACAACTTAGTAAGGGATCAAACAACAAATTTTCGTTTCTGACTCTTATATGAATCATCTGGAATTCAAAACAAAATAGGCGCTACTTTTGTCTTGCTTTTATCATCCTTAACACCGTCCTTTCAAACTGCCCGTATCAGAAGGACGAAACAGGCAAAATCTCAAAACCCACCCCGAAATCAAAAGGGCTCTCACTTCTCCCCATCGTTGGTCTTCAGTTTCCACTCTCTTCTTTGTTTTATTATTATTATTATTATTGTTGTTGTCTTTTCTCATCACATAATGGAATAACCATTCGAAATGTGCTTATTTTATTTTTCTCGCCTGTTAATGCTAACTTAATTTTTTTTAATTATCATTAATTTATTGCCTTTATATGGACTCTCTTAATTTGTATATTTTTAGTTGTTTTGTATATTTCTATGTACTATTTCTATGCCGGAAGCAGCGTCATCAGCAGCGACTTGAAGCACAGAGCAAATGATGCTCGAGATGGTTCAAGTTCGTATAGCAACAGGCGTGACCAGAGTGGTTTGAACGGCTGTTGTACTGCGATGTGGAAAGCAAATGGAAAAACTACCACATTATCACTTTTCCTGGATAGTCTCTTTCCAAAAACAGAAGATCGCATTAAGTGGAGGAACTGTTTTGGAAGAGACTGTGGACCTGTCGTCTGACAGATTACTGATGAATGAATGAATGCCAACTTTGTAATTGGCCTCTGAGCTGTTAAGTTTGCACGCAAATGAACACGAATTGAATTGAATTGAATTATGGGGACGCTTCAGTCCATTACGAACCTTTGCCTCTTGTCGATTGCTCGTCATTGGTTCCGATCCTATACGTTCGTCTCCATTTAGGTGTTTATATCCGGATACACAGGTTAAAACCGTCTCAACAATTAAGGCTTTTTACGCGGTGAGGTGAGAAACTCTATGCCCAACCCCTTGTATGGGAGTCCCTAGCGGTAGCCACTCGACCGTCAGCATAGCTCTCAGGATCATATGACCATGCAAGCCCCACCACTAAGTTAAAGCAGGGACACCCGAGGAAGGTCCACTCTCTTACCTTTTCCAGCTCTGTCTTAGGCCACCCGCAGTCCACCCAATCAGCAATGCGCTGGGCAGTCTGCCTGATAATGGTACACTTCTGCGCCAAGCAGCAAGATTTGGGAAATTATTCTACTTTTCTTCCAAATTTACCTTTTAAATGAATTGTATCTACACGACCCTTAAAATTGCTGTAATTCGGCAAGCGAATTGTTGCAAATAAATTGAGCTGCTGTTAAAATCAAGAACTTCTCTTTTGGTTAGTGTAGCCTTGGTTTTTATTAGGTTAATGGACACTGCCTTTTAACTCGAAAACACAGAGAGGGATAGGATTGTCATGTCGGTTTACTGAAAATTCCATTTAACTATCAACGCCAACCCGCCATTGCAATTTCAGTCCTCTAATATATCGCGTCACTTCGCCAAAATGATTAACAATTTAAGTAACTGGTTAAGCACCTGAGTAATTATAGTATTAACTAATTCGCTCTACTTTCAAAAGATATTTTTTTTAAATGTTTGCCATTCTTTAAGAAACACGAAATGTCATTACTGTGTTCACGAAAGTTCACCACTAATTCCTATCCTGAACTGGTTGAATTTAATTCACACTTTCAGACCTTCACTCACTAACTCATGGACCTGAGCCCTTCCTGAGAAGCCGACAATTGTGCAGTAACTCAGGAATTTCACAGAATTTTATGGAACCCGAAGGCTCATTACCGTGTTCACAAAAGCCACCCACTGGTCCCTATCCTGAGCCAGATCAATCCAGTCCATACCGTTCAATCCTATCTCTCTAAGATCCAATTTAATATTGTTCACCCGCCTACGCCTTGGTCTTCCCAGTGGTTTCTTTCCTTCTGGCTTTCCTACAGATATCCTATATGCATTCCTCTTCTCCCCCATTCTTGCTACATCCTCTGCCCACCTCATCCTCCTTGACTTGATAATTCTAACTATACTTGTAGTAGAGTACAAGTTATGAAGCTCCTCATTATGCAGTTTTCTCCAACCTCCTATCACTTCATCTCTCTTTCTCTCCAAATATTCTCCTTAACACCCTGTTCTCAAACACCCTCAGTCTGTGTTCCTTCCTTGATGTCAGAGACCAAGTTTCACACCAATGCAAAACCACAGACAAAATTATAGTTTTGTACATTCTAATGTTTATGTTTTTGGACAGCAGACGAGAAGACAAAAGGTTCTGGACTGAATGGTAACAAGCATTACCCGAGTTGAGTCTCCTCTTAATTGTCTCCTGAATCAGGTTTTGGTTTGTAATCGTCGTTCCCAAATACCTGAACTGTGACACATTTTCAAAACATCTGTTACCTGTTATCTGTCCTGATTTTGCCCTGGATTTTGTGACGAGATCCTTCGTGTATAAAATCAATTTTATTATAAGCATGCGGGCATATCTCACAAGGAATCTCCTCCCATAGAAATTTCCTACTAACTAACGTTTTTCATTATCTCAATAACTGTAACACAGCGCTTCCTTACCTCGGCAGTGGGAACTCGTACAGCGGTGTACGAGTATGTAGCAGCTAACAGCGGTGTGTCTCATTGTTTCAGTTATGACCGTGACCAGCCATTCACCTTCCAGCTGGGTGTCGGTCAGGTGATCAAGGGCTGGGACCAGGGGCTCACGGATATGTGCGTTGGTGAGAAGAGGAAACTTACTATCCCACCTCATCTGGCTTACGGTGACCGAGGTGCTGGCAACGTCATTCCACCAGGTACAAGACACCAACCGAGTCAGCATTCAGCGTTTCCATGCCATTAACCACATCGGCCTGTCTTTCGTGTCTTGCGTTACCAATGAAGAGAAACTTTGTCGTTGTCTTGACATTTCGAATTAACCATTTGTTTGACCGCCGTACATTTCACAATTGCCTTTCCGCGCTTATCTTTATTTAAGATACCTTGTCGTGGGTATCACAAAGAAGTGACATGCAATTTTATTACAAGTTCTGACAAATAATTATAGAGTAATTAAACGTAATCGTTTTTTTTTTCAGTTCATTTGGTCCAGCGGCCCTCGAATTCCCCATTCCATCAGAATAACAATTAAATTTTAATTTAATTTTAATAATAAACAACATTTGTTGTCCCTCCATTAATAAAGTTCTCTTGTTGGTATGCTCATACTTATCGCTATAGTGAACGTGCATTCTTGCGCAGGTTTCGCTGTTTTTCACGCCTATGTCTAGAAGAATCGGATATCTTTGGCCCGTTCTCTAAATATTCCCGAACGCTTTTTGCCTCGATGTGCCTTCAGAAGGAGGTGGAAAGTCTGGTTGGGAAGGGCCGTTTTCACTATAGCTAGCAAAGGAATTATGTGGGACTTCTATACCGTACGTAACTTCTCTGTAGTTTGTTTTTTCGTGTTCCACACCAGCCTGAGCAGATCACTTCGTCATATGCACTGGGAGACGAGCGTTGTTTCCTCCTTCATGACGTGACAACGCCATAATCTACTCGTACGTCTGCGTCCAGTGAGAGTTCGCTGTTATCATGAAAGCACTATAAGGTGCAGAGCTGCCTCCACTCTTACATTTTTTTGTATAGTAGTTCAGTTATCGAGACCGCCTCTATGGTCCAGTGGTCAGAGTTCCTGGCTACAGATCCAGAGGTTCCGGGTGTGATTCCCGGTGCTACCAGATTTTCTGAGAAGTAGTGGGTCTGGAACGGGGTACACTCAGCCTCGTGAGGATAATTGAGGAGCTATTTCAACGAAATAGCGGCTCCGGTCTAGAGAACCGAAATTAATGGCCGTGGGGATTCGTTGCGCTGACCACGCGACACCCTCTATCAGCTAAAGTTGGCACTAACTTCGACAACAAGCGGCGGTCGCTCGGTCGGTATAGTTCGCTTGCGGACTAGTTCAGTTATCCGCTTCACGTCAGAGAGCAGCATGACCGGTAGGCAACGTGTGAACTGTCCGAGAGAAATAGTGTAGCGGGTTTAATGCAGTGGTTCACAACTTTGGTGAGATCGTGACCCGGTAAATTGTTTTTTGTAAGACGAGAATCTCGTATAATTGAGCCTGGACCCGGTGCCGGGCCGTGGCCCGGCGGTTGAGAAACACTGGTTTAGAGAACACGAGGAGTTGTTTCTTTGTCGCGGCAGAAATTTCTGGACCTTGCAATGTCAATGGAACGCCCACGTTAAATGTCGCACAGTTTTATCCCTACTCAAGAGAAAATTAACTCTAGCGATTGAGGAAATGTTAGTGTATTTTTTAAATATCTTTTTCAGTGCTGCCAACGTCATTTTTTGAGTAAACTAGAGTGTCCTTTACTTTTTGACATTCTCCATATTCCCAAGTTAATGTAGACCTACAGACTGTGTTATTCACTACTCACCCATAGGCGAAACTGTTAAGAGATAACTTCCTGATACTCGTCTTCTCAGAACACCAAGTTATTCGATCCGAGGTCTGGTCATGTGGGATTTGTGGTGGGGAAAGTGGCAGTGCAGCTCGTTTTGTCCAAGTACTTCGTTTCCCCTGCCAATTCTCATTCCACCAATTGCTCGACGTTTATTAATTCTATTATGGTCGCTATACAGCCTCGATAGAGACAGCGTCGTTACACAAAGAACTAAAATTTGCCTTAAATTCAGACCAGGAGGACCAGTGCTTGTGAGCGAAGTATTTCGCGCCTAGTACGGAAACTGTTAATGTCAACATAACCTCTAAACAAAATATTTGTATTACTGGGTTTTTGCACTTTTTCCAACGTCAGGTATTATAAAGAGAGGAATGTCACTGAAATTGGATCTGTTTCCGTCCTCAGGTGAAAGGGTGGAGACATTTACTCTGTTGGGTCCGTTCGAAAGAGTTAACCTCAATCACTGGACTGGTTAGAAAGAGCTAACCTCAATCACTGAAATGGTTGGTTCTTTCCAAGGAACCCATCAAAGTAGATGCCTCCCACACCCTCGCCCAAGGACGGAAACAGATCCAGTTTCCGAAGAGTTGTGTTCTTTAGGATACCAGACGATGGGCAGAGTCCAAAAATCCAGTAATCCCGAGTGTTGTACACCATCTTAAAAACCCTTTAACACGTTGGGGCATTAAAAAACAAACTCCGTAATTTTAAGAAGAAAGTTGTTTTCTGGGATCTGGGGCCGTGTATTCTTTGTTTTAGCCGACGTTCCTCCGAAACGTCGGCTAAAACAAAGAATAATCGTACACGGCACCAGATCCCAGAAAACGACTTTCTTCATAGTCATCGCCGTCAAAACCTCAAAACTTACATCCGTGGTTTTAGTCCGCAAGCGAACCATACCGACCGAGCGACCGCCGCTTGTCGACGAAGTTAGTGCCAACTTTAGCTGATAGAAGGTGTCGCGAGATGAATACAAAAGTAGAAGAAAGTGTGACGACTGCCGTGAATCGTGATATGCTTCGAGCATTCACCGAGTCTAACGCTAACACGTACCGTATATCATGTCTGTAAATTATAGAGCCTGCAACATTTCACTGGGCTGTAACAACCTGCATCGAAGGAATAGTAATTGCTGTGTTCTGTTTAAGGCAGCGTCTACATGAGCGCACAAAATGCGTCCGTTGTAACGAACGTACTTTGCTGAGGACACCACACAGTTGCAGAATGCAGTGCGTAGTATTTTGTCTGCAATGGAGCCAGAAAAAAAGCATAGCATCCGCCTCTCTTGTTTTTTTTTCTACAACGGACGCATTTTGTGCGTTCGTGTAGACGCTGCCTTAACCTATTCTCATGTAGGCTCTATCATAAAGTGAGAGCAACTAAAATCTTGCCTGGTGACTTTCTTCTTAAGTTTACATTTGTGGTACCAGAGGTAGGCCATGTTTCTTAAGCGATAGACCGGAGATTTGCCCTTTTCAGTGCCGTCAACATAACACGAAATCAAAAATTGGCATCACTATCATACCTCTACCTATTTAACATCTTATTTGAGAATTATTCAGAATTGAAATATCTGGGGGCGGCAGGAATGAGCTTCACAAAGAAATTAGGAGATGATTTTTTTTTCTTCCTCTTGCTGCTCACTTCGGAACTTGCTCCCCACTTTGTAACTTGCTCCTCACTTTGGAACTTGCTCCCACTTTGGAACTTGCCTCCCACTTTGTAACTTGCTCCTCACTTTGTAACTTGCTCCCACTTTGGAACCTGCTCCCACTTTGTAACTTGCTTCTCACTTTGGAACTTGCTCCCACTTTGTAACTTGCTCCTCACTTTGGAATTTGCTCCCACTTTGGAACTTGCCTCCCACTTTGTAACTTGCTCCTCACTTTGTAACTTGCTCCCACTTTGGAACCTGCTCCCACTTTGTAACTTGCTTCTCACTTTGGAACTTGCTCCTCACTTTGTAACTTGCTCCTCACTTTGGAACTTGCTCCCACTGTGGAGCATAGGGCTGATTTCTCAGTTTCATGATCATTTTACAGACGGCAGGACACCTTGGACGGGTGATTAGCTCATCGCAAGGCCTCTACCTAAACACAGGACAACACAAACACAGAATAAGTGCATACACACACGAAGCATCCATGCCTTGTGTGGGATTCGAACCCACGATCCAGGCTTCCGAGCGAGTGACGACAGTGCATGCCTTAAAGCGCTCGGCTACCGTGACCGGCAGGAGAGGAATTCAAGTCTGGAAATATAGTTTAATAAATGTTACTTCTCCAAACCAAGGGGATTGTGCAATGTACAATACAATATTTTCGATACTTGTTTTGTGTAAGTTTGAACCTTGATCTCTTAGTATAAAAGATTATTAATGTTGTCCAGTGTGATTGATAAATGTTGTGCTTTTTAATCTTTCACCCTTTACATGTTTCGGTATTATTTATCAATCACACTGGACGGCGTTAGTAATCTTTTGTACTATTGCTAGTGTGACGGACCAGGATGAAGCAAGTCAAACTTGATCTCTTATTTATTTTACGCGCGCTTGAAAATAAATTGCGTAGGAACGTATGTGAACGTAAGAAGCGTAGAATAAGTGGATAATTTAGAATATTACATAAAGAGTTCAATCCATTGATGGCAGAAGATAAAAAAATCCAAATTGTATTAATACGCGTTATACAGAAATGTAAATAACGGATAACAATAGCTTGGGGTTAACGTCATCGCCGTTATTGTCTAAAAAATAGCAACCAGTAATCGCATCTCATATATCATTCATAATCATCGTCTCCCAGCAAAAGTGTGGGTAATAGAACTGCAGAAACAAGCAGAGGAGGTGAACTGCGTTTCTAAGTTCACCACTTTCACTCAGAATACGTCATCATTTATTGTCAGTTGTAACATTTATTGCAAACGTGCCGTGTTTGGGAAAAGCCCTCAACCATCATGCAGTGAGGATACAGTCCGTGTAACACTCAAACACGTTCCAGCACCAGCCGACAGTTCTAATGAAAACGTCAGTGATTTTTAGCATTTCAGCAACTGTTTTAATGAACATCATACTTAAAAGAGCTAAGGTAAATGAGCATAAACCGAAATTTCCGGTTACGTGTGATTATGGCTGTGGCCTGCGGTTAATGAACTCCTCGAGGATTCAGTGGAAGAAGGTTGCATATCCGTTCCCTTTTCCGATACACATTCCAACCGCTGTAACAACTGCGGCCATTTTGATGCGTGTGCTACGCGATGACATGGCTCCTTGTCCTAGTGGAAAACACCCTGATCTTGTATTCGGGAGGTGCTGGGCCGAATGTCGGTCATACCTGACTGAGGCTTTCCGTGGTTTCACTCAGTCCCTCCGGACAAATGCCGAGACAGTATCTAGTTTGAAGAACGTCGTCTTCTGGGATGTGGAGGCGTTTAGATATTGTATAAAACGATGTTTCGGAGGAACGTATCGCATTACGAATCCTCCAAGCGAGGGGATGAGCCTCAACAGATCGCAGCGTGGCAACTGCTCTACCAAGTACAACACCCCGCCCGGTACCTAAGTCGTCTACAGACGATTCCGAGTCCTGACATCGAGCAAATGTACCCTTGGTCGACCGTTAGGAGCGGGACGACGATTAGACAGATCCGAGGTCCTGCCGCCGTCCCGTTGTGCCCCGCTCTGCAAACATGGGCCCTCGTCGGCCCGCCCTAACCCCGCGAGGGAACGGATGGCTCTAGGAAGACATATCACTTTGTTTGGAGCCTCTCGACTCACGGGACTCCCGCGGGTCATTGTTGCCTCAACCAGACGGGATACGGCCTTAGAGGCGTTCAGGCATAATCCCACGGATGGTAGCTTCGCACCACCGGCCCCTCGGCCGAGTGCCTGAACCAAATGTCTGAACCTGCGGTTTCTCTGGTACTGAGCAGGATTACCGTCGCAACGACCCAGTCATCAGTAGGGTAAAACTAACCTGTCTCACGACGGTACATGTACCTGGTCACGAACCAGCGTGAGCAGGTGGCTGCAGATTAGTCCACGGTCGCTTCCTTCAAAATCCTTTCCAATTCATCATTCAAATTCATGAATCATCCTATCATTCAGTCATTCAGTGCTATATCATTTCAACCCGCGGGCCTCCTGCGGTCCTTTCGAATTCCCGCAAGTAAATTCCGCCAACAAAAAAAAAAAGAAGTACATTGTTTAAAATAATATTATCAAAATATTGTCACGTTTTTATGGTTGTGTGACTGTAGACAGGGTTTTTGGATTATTGGGTTTATTGACCACTTACAAGTCATACTACAAACATCTGTAACACTGTCGCTGTTTCCACACTTTATACAGTTCACAGTTAGACACATTAGTATCCTCTCTCTGCTACTGTCTCCACTATCTTTTTCCTGGCAACGGATTTTAACACGGGAAGTATAACAGTCTCACCGAATTACACACTCCAAATATCACTGTACTATAGGGCACGTAGAGTCTTCTCTTCACAGCCCGACTGCCATCTCCTCAGCCTTCCTTACAGACCTCAGCTGTCGACTAACTGCTAACTTGGAACTTCGGAACTCGACTGACGATTTTCAAAAGTCAACGTTATGTTACGACCGACGGTCAGTCGGCAAGTCTGTCTTGGAATAAAGCACCAATCTGGGGCTTAAGACCATATCCATATTAATAAAATCTAAAAGTTTGTGACGATGGTAAATTGTTACAATTAATATGTTGTTGGACATTATCCATCATCTTGTCTGTTCTTAAAAAGCCGTCCTGTTTCTTTTAAAAACACAACGTTTCGGGGACTGGATTATGTCCCCATCCTCAGGTAAAACCTATTCAGTTGGGTCCAGTAGACAGAGCTAGCCCCTACCTCTGGACAACTATGCCGGTTTCAGAAGGGGTTCATAATCCAAGCACAACACAAACCATCTGTGAGAGCTAAGAAATAATGAAACTATCACATATGAGGCTTTGCACCAGAGAAGTATCTTGAATGAAATCGTACCTGGAGAGAAGCAATACTCCTTGTGGTACCAACACATGAAACAAATGGTTACCCACTCCAACTACACTTGACGGCGCTGTAGTCTCTTGACTTCTGCTGTGATGACAGGGTCCAGATTGGTGAGATTTCCACACTGGGTTGACTGATTGGATGGTCCAGCAGAGACATGTGGGCTGATTGCTTGTTATTTCCTGTATGTGGTGTTGGGTTCGATCTGCAAGACCTTCGCTTCATTCCAACGAATTTTGTGGTCTTCCTCGTATGCATGTTGGGTTAATTTAGATTTTTCCAGCAAACCCTGTGTCATATTATATTTGTGCTCCTTAATGCGTACTTCTAGGGGTCTGTTAGTTTCACCGATGTAACATCTGTCGCAGTCGCAAGGGATGCTATACACACACTGCTTCGTTTTCTGGGCATCTCTAACGGGTCCACTTTTCATTAATGTCCCCCGAGCGTATGTTTCGTTTTGAAGATTGTTCTGAGCTCCTGGGGCTGATGACCAGATATTTATTACTGTTTGACAGGTACGGTATTGTTTTTGTGTGGCGACCTCTCTGACAAGAGGACGGGTCTCTCTTTTGTATATGCTGCTGGCTCTTGCCAGCGCAGTCTTTCTCAGGTCCGAGTCCCTTGGGACTTGTGAAAATATTTTACTGTCTCAGATTTGAGACTTCCATTTTCGTTGCCTTCTACGACTCGCATACAGTTCTGTCGTTCACCACTCTTCTTTATAACCACTTTGCGCGGACTGAATATAAAACGCCGTTCCCAACAATTCCTCTCTTGTTGCTTGCGTATCAGTTGCCGCAGAAACGTGTTTAGCGAGCCATTGCCTAGCAGGAGCGTCTCCTCTGGCTCCACTATTCAGGCCTTCAGGCGTTATGTCACAATAGTTTTAAAGGTGTCTTGACCAACGTTCTAACCGACTACCTCCTGAATGTGTGTGCTGTAGAATGTATCTACACATACGTACCTGTACATACATACATACATAGTTCCTGTGAACCACGGACACATAAAGCACATAACAGCAATCAATGATAAAAACGTGCCGAATGGGTTGTTAGGAGTATGACCAGAACATCGATTTGCTCTGCTGAATACAATGTAAAATGAATTAAACCCTTGTTCCTATGGCATAATGATGTTGCAGGTGCCACCCTCACATTCGAAGTGGATCTGATCAACATTGGTGACACCCCACCACCAGTGAACGTGTTCAAGGAGATCGATGCTGACAAGGACCTCATGCTATCCCGCGAAGAGGTGAGAGGTTGTGGAAAATGAGTTTTACTCAAACAACTTGAAGGGAAGTTTAAATTAAGAGAAGATTTGGAAGATCTACATGTACTTGGGAGGGTAATATTAAAACGAATCTTAGAAAAAGAGGAAGGAAAGATGCAGCTGGTTCAGGATATGGTAGAGCAGGTATTTCTGAACATGATGTTGAACTTCTGGAAAACACAAGAGCAGGAAAATTTTTAGAAATAATTGTAAACTTCTCAAGCAGGATCCTTTAGGCGTACCATGAAGTTAGTTAGGTAGACAGAAGGCCGCGCCATAGCTCAAGCGGTTAGTCGCTGGCTTCCCGTCGCAGCGGCCCGGGTTCAATCCCGGGTCTGGTCAAGTGGGATTTGTGGTGGACAAAGTGGCGCTGGGGCAGGTTTTCTCCGAGTACTTCGGTTTCCCCTGCCAATCTTCATTCCACCAATTGCTCCACAATCACCCTCACCTATCATCTGGGGCTGGTACAATAGGCCAGAAGTGGCCGCAGTACAAGGGACTTAGTCCCACCCCACTAGCAATAAAAAATAATAAAAAAATAGGTAGACAGAAGATTTAAGGAATATAGAACATATAAGTTACTGCTGTAAGTGATATTATTATCCGTTTATTTGAAAATAACTGATACTAAAACAAAAGTAAACGGCTTTGCATGTACCTGGCGTGTGAGGACTGACAGTTGTTGATTCTGTAGTAGTAGAACAAGTTGGTAATTTAGATATGTGTTTGGATTGCAATAAAGATGAAGACATGCAGTAAAATGTTATACAGAGTGAAGTTAAATTCTCTCACAAGCTCTCAATAGTGTGAGTTCATGTAAACACGTCAGAATTATTGTATTACAACAGCAACCTGTGATGTTTATTTTTTATAAACTGGGGGGAGTAGACAAGATCGTATTGTCCTTAGGGTTCAATGGGGCATGCGGTAGCGTAGTTGGTTGAGGTATTATGCTACAAGTCGGAAGGTCGCGGGTTCGAGTCCCGATGAGGCGGATTTTTAAAAAGTTGACCTAGCCCTTCCAGCAGCACTGTGGCCACGGGGTCGACTCAGCCTCTAACAGAAATGAGTACCAGTAATCTTCCTGTGGGCGTAAGGCTGACAACTTTACCGCCATCTGTGAGCCGATTGTCTAGAAAATGTCGGAGCATCGAGGTCTCACAACCCTATGGGCTTACAGTATTTATTTGCACTGAACATGATGAGTGCCACTTGAGCAGTCAGGTGATGATACATGGCTGAGTAACTTTGATAGGTTTATCAAACAGGAGGATGTAAAACCTGCGCCTGCGCTATTCAGTCCCATTACTGATAGCGTGGTTAAATAACCAACTTTTTGTAAACTGATAATGGCTGATGATTGAACTGCATGCTCATCTGAAAACAAATTACTTTGTTAATGGAAAGTTTACCTGAAGTATACCAATACTAACGTTTGGGAACATCTTCCTTCTGTAACAGAAACTGTATATTGATTATTTACCTATATTTCGAGACAAGAGTGTACTCTGCTAGTAATTTGATTTGCCAACAATAGTCTGTCATTAGCTGTTGTCATTTTTGTGACTGCTTGTTTAGATGAGCTGCTTGAAATCTATGTGTATTTGTTCAATGTTGCATATTGTGTTGTTTATATTTCAAATTGAGCGGCAAGGTCCCTGGCATTTAAATGAGCAACTAAATATATTTCAGGAATACAAAATAAAAACACTGAATATCAGTTCCATTTCACTGGACATACACATATACTGTTGCGAAGCTCCTCTCACTTCACAGAGTGAGATATTATTTGTGCTTGTATTCTGTTAAATATTTACCATGTAGAAATGTATTTAAAATGAAAGTTCTAATCATGAACGAAATCTATCTTTTATATTATGAATAACTGTTTGTATGCTGAGGTATTTCTGAGAAAATCAATGAAGTTTAAGCTTCACGTAAAATAGGCTTTGTTTTTAGCAAATAAGAACCAAAATTAAATTTTCTCAACAGCTCTTAATGTAGTGATCAGTAGTTTCAGAGATGAAATCTGATGATAGACAATATAATTTCACCATTATGCATTCAATCTGTGGACTTTATACAGAGATCATATAAAAATCGTAATGAGCTTGTAAACTTTCAGTGTATGGTACCTCATGATTCAAGTACTGTGTTTCAGGTGAGCGAGTACTTGAAGAAGCAGATGGTTGCTGCAGACCAGGAAGGTGTTGCTGAAAGCGAAGAAGTCAAGAGGATGTTGGAGGACCATGACAAGTTAGTGGAGGAGATCTTCCAGCATGAGGACAAAGACAAGAATGGCTTCATCTCACACGATGAGTTTTCAGGTCCCAAACACGATGAACTCTGAAACACTCCGCGGGTCAAATAGTGGAATTCCCAATGGATACTGCACAAGATTCAGGGTGTTCAATGGTGCACATTGAAATAAACTACAACGAAATTAATTTCTGGGGAACAAAAATACAACATGAAACACAAATGTCTGAATTGGTAAAATGGAAGGGACAGTAGTTCATGTGCACTGTGATGCCAGTTCATGAAGATGACTCACCAGATGTGGTTGTTATGCACTCTCTTAGTGCAATAATCCTTTTATATACAGACTACACATGACAAAAACACTGAAAAACATGGCAGGAGAATGAAATACGGAGATCACCTTCATGTTTTATTCACATTTTGAATATGGTGCTGGCATTTAACTATTTCAGCATTTACTTCGATGTTATCTTCTATTCAGATAGGAATGATTCTGATCATGAAAGATTGATTTTATTTTTTAAGATTTTATTGACCTTAAGTTTGAAGTGGTAGGCTGTTAATAGTATGCAGCTTTTTGAACATTCCCTTTATTGATATTAAACTGATTTATCCTTATCTAAAGACTGTTTTACACTGCAAATGAACTCGGAAGCAATTTTTAAATTACTAAAAAGTGTAATGAATTTTTAAAAGCTATTTGTGTGTTGTTAAAGTTGGAAGCGGTTAAATAAAATAATTGTATTTTACACCTGGATTCCTTACATTCTCTGAACTAATCTGTGACCCATTATTCCAGTGATCTCCTTCCAGTTGTCACAACCACTGAATATGATGGAAATGCAAGCTTCCTTGTATTGCTGTGGGACATGTAATTTATCATGGAGATTGTTAAAGTCATCATATAGAAATGAGAAATTTCAGAAAAAGGTAAAGTTATTTTTTATATACTGCGGCTTTCCTTGTCTGTATCAGAATATCCCAGTATCAGTCTCAAAATATGTTGTAACAATAATTTGAAAAGAAATAACACTCAAATATTGTATTCATTGTTTGTTAATCATATATTTGTACAGATATTATATTTTGGAACATTATCCAGAGTCTTAGCTTTATCTAAAAATCGTCCTCTTTTTAGATATAGACAGAATGATGGACAATGCCCAAAAGCATAATATTTGACTAATGTAACATCATCGCAAACTTTTAGATATTTATCATATATTTTGTTTCTTAGAACAAATGTAGAACAGTTATTTTCATAAAACATTATAACCATTGCTCACAAGTTACTGCAAAGAAAGAATGATAATATTGAATGCAATGCAATGTAATGTAATGTAATGATAGAAATGAACAAAAAAAATGGATTCACAAAAATAACAATCCTAAAAATAGAATTGAAATTTTTCCCCGGGAGATATATTTCATCACAATATTTAAGTATAAATATCAATAGAAATTAAAGTATAATTAAATTAAACGTTTTCACTAAAATATTTAATCCTACAGATCAGAATAAACTAAAGTTTACTTGTGTAATTAAAAGAATATAAAAATTGAATCCTCTTCCCAATATTATAAAGACATACGTCATTGCTGTACCAGTCTTGGTTATCATAGGCCCTATACACTGGCACCAGGACACAGCAGATTTCATAATATCTTTGGGTGTTCTCTTTTTGGTTCACAGTAGGAAACAGGAAACTGACAGAATATCTAGAAGGCAGTAATATTCTGTAAGTTAAATATACTAGATAATATTTGTAAGCATTATCTTGAACAGTCACACACTGTCATCATCCTATTTTTGCTCTTTCTCTCTGCTATTAGATTATGAACTCAGAGAACATCACAGAAAGTTCACCAGTAAAAGTGACCTCTTTTCATACTAAGTCAAAAATATTAAATGAAAAATACAGTAAATGTTTCTTTTATAGAGTTTCTGTTTCATCCAGCAGGTATGGTGTATAAGATATATATGTATTACATGGAGCAAAAGAGAGATATCAGCAGATTACAAGCAATTGAGACGAATTTAGGATTTGAGGTTTCGCAGTGGTTCTTATGAGGATTTCTCTCTCCTGAGATATAACGCCATGTAGGTCATTGAAGGTCAACCAGTGTTTTAGAAGGTCATATCACTTCATGTTCAGATTTGAAGAGCAAGCCAAGCAATAATCCAACATGAAGCAGGAAACAGGTGATAAAGATGGAGGTTGTATGTTAATCCAAAATGTCAGTGGACTTCCAACAGGCTACATGGCGCTGTATTTCAGAAGATATAACCCTTTATAGCTAAAAGTTTCCATTGTTTGTTAGAAAACAGGCCAAGAAGGAATAAAACCAGAAACCAAGCCATTAGGAAAATATGAAAGCACAAATGCTACAAGAAGAATTTGTGTTAATGTGCGTTATGCATTGCTGACAGTAGGGTTCCTTGGAGAAGAACCAGAAATTAAGTTGTCAGATAGATAACACTGATGAAATCAAGCGTGGGATGACGCAGAAAAGAGAGTAGGGATGAAGTCATTGCAGATGCAAGAGTGTGTTTGAGGTTCTATAAAGAAGAATGTTGAAGGCTTAGTCATTGGATGACCCTCATTGACGGAAAAATCAGTGGATATCAGAAATGGTGGTGGTGTGAGAACCCCACAAATATTATTGTACTACAGTGGTTGCCACTGTTAATTGTCTGTGGTCACTGTGAGGGAGGCAGAGATATATTTTGCGATATTGCCATATTGCTTCCCACTTCTAGTCAGCATTATGTTTATACGTAATTGAGAGAGTATCAGTTGAATACATACAACATGTTAATCAGTAGTATTACTTCAAAATGAAAAGTGAGTGAACTTGCCTGTACACTTAATTTGAAGTCTTGTCATCATCACTGCATTCATAGCAGGAGCAACCAGATGATGATTCTGCTATATTGTTGATACATATCATCTCCCAAAAGCTATTAAACAATCCTGCAGACTTTTTGCATGCTTGACACAATCTTCCCACACTGAAATGGTTATGTGGTCTGTCCTCTTTAGATCTGGTATGGTATATGGATTTTATGTCAGGTAGGAACCCAACATGGCAGTCTGCTTCCTTTCCTCATTTTCCTTTCCCAGCTCTTGTCACTGAACTGCCAGCATGATTTCTTTGAGTGGTTTTGATTAATCCATTTCTCAATTAAATAATAAATTTGTGTTACACTGTTTTCAAATTTTATGTATTGCTCTGAAGATCATAGTCATAATAGGTACAATGCAACTACAAATTCTCTGCCTTTATTTCACTTTACATATTTAAACCAAGTGGTGTTTAAAATTTGATACATAGCTCAACTGCAGCCTTCATACAGCTTCTATGATTTCACGAACCAGCTATCATATACTTCCATCACAGAATATCTTTATGAAACTGATGAAGGCCGGTTTTTTTTTT